AGAGAGAGAGAGAGAGAGAGAGAGAGAGAGAGAGAGAGAGAGAGAGAGAGAGAGAGAGAGAGAGGGAGGGAGCAAGGAAAGGAGATGAATGAGATATATAAATGTCAGCATTATCATATTTTGTCTCACCAGTTCTCAGTATGGATAGAGCACACAAGTATTGACACAGTACCAGTTGCTTCATTAATATTTCTTGAATATTCTCCTGGCCTTCTACTGATGCACCCTACATCACATACAAGTAATTATAATTACATAAACCAGACAGTAATAAATAAAAGGAATTAAAGCTAAATTTTGGCAAATTGCTAAATTAATAGTCATTAGTTGGTTTTAAATTGGTGAATTAGTGGTCATATGAAATTAAGTATAAAAATGAGTCAATTTTAGTTGCTATACCTGTATATAGCAAAGTATAGCAAAGTGTAGTATAGCAAATACCTGCCACAATACATGGACATGTACTAATGGAATCATGTGCAATATGTAACTAAATGAAAGAAAGCGACTTATAATGGTACAATAAGAACTACAGCTCTGGAGTGCACAGTCAAAAGTAGTTAAGCTTTGTTAACAGGACAACAACCTAACTGCTTACAACATACCTATGCAAGCATGATGAATCCAATATGCATATATGACCTACCAAAATATACGTACTTGTAGTTGACCTAGGGGCCAGCATGCAGAAAAGTATATCTCCAATGCATAATGAATGAATGAAAGAATTTATTTCCATAATCTTCAGGACAAAAGTTGATCAAAAAATTAACAAACAAATGTTCTTTTTAAATAAAAATGGCAACACAAAAAATTATTCTAATAAACAACAAGTCGGTTATTTTTAAGATCACACACATACAAGAATCCATCTTTATCAAATGCTAATCCATAAGGACGATCAAACTGATCAATATTACTGCCTTTACTTCCAAACTTACTAACAAACACACCATCACTAGTGAAGACTGATATACGATTATTGCCTTCTTCACTGACATACACTAGACCAGCAGCTGCAGTGTCTATTGTTATACCTCTTGGACCATTAACCTGTCCAGGACCAGATCCTTCACTTCCAAACTGACCCACAAACTTTCCATCTGGAGAGAACTTCTGAATGCGATGATTATCAAAGTCAGTAACACACACTAATCCTTGACTGTCAATAGCAATGTCACGTGGAGACTGAAACTGTCCATTGGCTGATCCTTTACTGCCAAATGAATGAGAGAAGGTTAGATCAGGATTCAAGACTTGTATACGATGATTCAACCAATCAACAATATAAACCTGTCCTGTTATAGGAGAAATGGCTATACCATAAGGACCACTGAATTGTAGTGGTTCTCTGCCTAACTCACCAACTGATGCTATAAGGTATCCATCCATGCTTATCTTCTGGATCCTGTCATTATCAGACACAAGAATGAATTTGTCTGGAGTAATGGCTACACCACGAGGATATAAAAACTTGACATTACCACTTCCTCCTTCCCCTCCTAATGATTTCACTTTCTTTCCTTCTCTATCCAGTATTGTTACACAGTGACCATCAAGCTCAGTTATTATAACATGATTATCATCCATTACAGCAACTCCACAGGGATCCTTAAACTCAGTTATAGTACGTACTGGAGTGATGTTATCAAGGTAAGGATTGAAAGGGATGGCTAGTGAGGTATCCTCAAGGTGTACATCATATACTTGTACTTTTACTGTATGAGTACCACGTGTTGAAGGGTTACACTGTATCCTATACACTCCAGGATCAGTGCTGGTGGTAGTGACTGTAGTGTGAATGGGTTCATCACCTTTACCAACTGGTACTAGACTACACCTCAGAGAAGAGACGGGAACACACAAAACAGATGAATCTGGTGCCTCCATTGATAGTGAAAATGAAACTTTCTTCTGTTTTGGTAGACGTTCAAAGCAACCAATTTTCTTCACTCTACACTGCTGTAGTGCAGTAGAGGTCACAATATTTCCAATGTGATGTAGTGATTTAATATCTTTACTCAATACAAAGTCGGCCTTTTCCTTTGGATGTAACTCCTCCACATTGATCCCTGCAGTAACTTCACTCATACGCTCCATCATCTGTTTCTTAGACCTCAGAACTTGTTGAGGACTGCCTGTCTTCAGACTCTGTTCCACATAATCCTCAACATCCTCCAGAACACTCAAACTCATTTCTGCTGATTTCATTTGCTCTGACAGCACCTTTAGTTTATCATCAGTGACCCTCTTTGCCTGCTCAGTCAGTTTCCTCTCTGACTGACGAAGAGCATTCATCATTTCCTCTACCATTTCATGTATTTCTTCTAAGACTCCTTCTCCTCTCTCTCTGATCTCACTCTCTCTCTCTGCTAGAGCAGACAGGACCTTCTTGAGTCCTTCAATTTTCCTTTTTACTGGATTAAGAGAACCTTCCAGTTCTTGACAGTGTTTAGTATAACTGGCAGAGACTAAGTCATACTCATGGTCTTTATGAGTACGGACTGTACAGTCACGACATATAACACTATCACATGTTTCACAGTAGAGCTTCATTTTCTTGTTATGAGTGGAGCAAGTGAGGGTTGCCTCCTGTTTAGCTGGAGCTAGCAATTGAGAAGTAGAAGAGACATCAGAGGCTGTCACCTCATCAAGATTTGTCAGCTGATGGTTAGAAAAGTCGGCCCATTTCTTGTGCATAGAGATACAATCAGCACACATAAACTTCCTGCAGTCTTTGCAGTATCCAGTGGCATTAGCTGTAGTACAGTTGTCACAGGTGACCTGTTGAGGATCAGCTACTTTCTTCATTAGACTGTATATCTCTTTGAGGTTGTTTATATGAAATGCTACAGGAAAGGCTCCTGCTCCTTCTTCTGGTAACTCTGTACAATGACGACAAGTGGGACAAGAGAGGTAATAGGTCTCATTCTTCTTATCCAGAGGTAATCCCTCCAGACAGTGCTCACAAAATGAATGTAGACAAGGTAAAGTCTTAGGGTTGGTATAGTGGTCAAGACACACAGGACAGGTGAGCTGTTCCTCCAGTTTGAGGAGACCAGGAGAAGATGAAGATGGTTTGGTTGCCATTTCAAGAAAAGAATAAAACTGTGTACGTAACGCAAGAACAAAAAATGAAGAGAGATAAAGGTAGAAGATGGTAAATGAAGATAGAGCAAGAACGAACGATAAGAAAATGAAGAAGTTGGAATGAAGGGAAAGATAACCCTGCCCCTGATGACCCTTGGAATATCCAAAGCATGTGACCACAGGAAGTTATGATAATAGTACATAAAGATAATAACATTCCTTTCCCATAGCAATCAGCTAAATCGACTATAAATGCTTCTTTGATTCTTTTGCTTCACTTATTCCGTTATTCATAAAATCAGTAATTTAGCATTATACCGGCAACAGGAATATTAATAAAATCTGTACAGCTCTCTTTGTGATTTAAGATTTAAGTAGACTAATTCCTAAAATTGCATAACTTGAACTCAATACATGAAGCATAGCAACCATTACATGTAAATTGGAGTATAGCAGTTTTCATGTAACAGCTACAAAGTTACTTCTACAAAGACTTTCTACTGATGCACCCTGGAACATAAGTATAACAATTAATAAATTGTTGAGTGTTGCTGTTGCATAGCCTGTAATTCTGGAAAAATACCAAATTTTGGTGAATTGCTAAATTTTGATGATTGGCTGGTTTTCAATTTGGTGAATTTGTGGCCATGTGCCATTGAGCATGTACATAAAGCTTGGGTTTCATAGCTCTCAAATAGTGAAATTCATAGTCTGCTAGTATGTATGGGATAAACTGCAGCATATAATATAAAAAATAACAATAATTATGCAATTATAACAATATGCAGCATGTCACCAGTTAATGAAAAACTAACTAATATATTTTTCAACAAAATTATATTAGAATTAAAGTTAATAAAATTAATCTAAGACTAATAAACAACAAGACGACTATTATTAATATCACAAACATACAATAACCCATCTTTATCTAATGTTAATCCATAAGGATGATTAAAGTGATCAAAATTATTAGCTTTACTTCCAAACTTCGTAACAAACACGCCATCATTAGTGAAGACTGATATACGATCATTGCCCCATTCACTAACATACACTAGACCAGTAGCTGCAGCATCTATTGTTATACCATTTGGCTCTTTAAACTGTCCAGGACCAGATCCTTTAGTACCAAACTGACCCAAAAACTTTCCATCTGGAGAGAACTTCTGAATGTGATGATTATTCCTATCAGTAACATACACTAATCCTTGGCTGTCAATAACAATGTCACGTGGAGACTGAAACTGTCCATTAGCTGATCCTTTATTACCAAATGAATAAGAGAAGGTTAGATCAGGATTCAAGACTTGTATACAATGGTTACCCCTATCAACAATATAAACCTGTCCTGTTATAGGAGAAATGGCTATACCAGAAGGAGTAATGAATTGTAGTGGTCCACTGCCAAACTTACCAACTGATGCTATAAGGTATCCATCCATGCTTATCTTCTGGATCCTGTGGTCATCAGATACAAGAATGAATTTGTCTTGAGTAATAGATATACCACGAGGACAAAAAAACTTGACAATACTACTTCCTCCTTTAACTCCTAATGATTTCACTTTCTTTCCATCTCTATCCAGTATTGTTACACAGTTACCACTATTCTCAGTTACTATAACATGATTATCATCAGTTACAGCAACTCCCCAGGGACCCTTAAGCTCAGTTATAGTATGTACTGGAGTGATGTTATCAAGGTAAGGATTGATAGGGATGACTAGTGAGATATCTTCAAGGTGTACATCATATACTTGTACTTTTACTGTATGAGTACCACGTGTTGAAGGGTTACACTGTATCCTATACACTCCAGGATCAGTGCTGGTGGTAGTGACTGTAGTGTGAATGGGTTCATCACCTTTACCAACTGGTACTAGACTACACCTCAGAGAAGAGACGGGAACACACAAAACAGATGAATCTGGTGCCTCCATTGATAGTGAAAACGAAACTGCTTTGCCAGCAGGTGTAACGCGATCAATCTTCTTCACTCTATTTTGTGATGGTATAATAATATCTCCAATGTGATGTAGTGATTTGATATCTTTACTCAATACAAAGTCGGCTTTTTCTTTTGGATGTAACTCCTCCACATTGATCCCTGCAGTAACTTCACTCATACGCTCC